AACAGAGGACAGTGTGATTGACAGCAGTGATCCTCAGCAAAGTGCACAACTGCTCGATGAAGAAATTGCGAGACGGAAGCAAGGACTGCAGGAGAAGGAGGAGCAGAGAGAACGGCTGGAGCACCAGGAGGCAGGAACGAATCAGGCCCTGAATGATCAAGGGATCCCCTGAATGATCCCAATCACCCATCTGGAGTGTTGATGATGATGGTGACTCAGCTGCATCCTGTGAAAGTCCTGAAGGGGACAGTCGAGAAGCAGCCACACAAGGGTGGGAAGACACCCAAGGAATGAGGAGCTCACAGCACAAATACAGCAGCTCCAAACCGAGCAGCGTCCTTGCAGGATGAAAATTCACACCTGGAAAGTGAGATTCGGAAGCTTCTGCTGAGGCCTCAAGTGCTGCCTGAATCGCACCAAGAACACGTCCTGGGGCCTCAGAGGAAACGCACTGTGAGGAAGTAACTGCTCAGAAATGGAGAAGAAACTTCCCCACGTGTGTGGAGACACGGACCATGCAGGTGAGACACACAACGTCTACAAGAAGACGGCCGAAGACACGACCACGGAATTGGAGAGAAGCTCCTTCTCGTATCAGAAGGAGATCCTCTTCCATGAGAGAAGAGCCCAAGAAAGCTGGATGCAGCCGTGTCCACCGAGAGAAAGATCCAGGAGCTCAGAGAATAAAACGACCTCAACAGGCAAAAGCCGGCTGCCGTCAAGTCCAAGTTCCAGCCTTTCCCAAGTGGCCCTTTTGCTCCTGGGGCTCCACCTGCAGCCCATACACCACAGAGGCTCAGAAGTACCAGGGGGCCCTTGGGATGTCAGGTCCCCCAGGAGGGCGGGGGGTCAGGCTGTGAGGGCTTCCGGGTCCAGGGTCACCTGCCGGTTTGATTCTGCTGTGTCTGCAGCCTGGTACTGAATTCCCACAGCTACGGCAGAACATCAGCCTGTGCTTCTCCCTTCAATGTAATTTTATCTCTTTTTAGTTTAGCTATTGTTTATTTATTGATGCTTCAATCACTATTATTGAAGTTTGATATATAGCATTATAATTGTAAGATAGTATTTCTCTAATATAGATCATTTCATATAATCCTTATGAATAAATTATTTTTAAATCTTTGGACCCTCTAGAATTACACAGTATAAGTATTATATTTTCATTATATTTTGAGGGGCTTCTATTATTTTTATTTTATTTTTTCCTTTTTGTCTTTTCTCGCGACTGGCAACGGGATTGCAACCCTCGGTGTCGCGCCCGCACCGCGCTCAACCAGTGAGCAGACCGGTCTCTATATGGGATCCGAACCCTCGGCGGGAGCGCTGCACTCTACCGAGTGCGTCACCGGGCCGGCCCAAGGGGCTTCTATTATTAAAAGCACTTTTGAGATTTGCTATGGATAGAGATGTTTAAAACAAGAACATTTCTGTGTGCGAGGAGCTGTTATTAGAATACACTACAAGTAAATTTACCTGGATAAACTTTGGTTTTAACAAACAATGCAAAGAGACAAAAAAAACCCCAAAAAACAAAAATCTAACAATAATACCAAGCCACTCTAAGTTTATAATATTTGTATTAGTTTATCACTTATATTTATAGATTGATTTAAGGGTTGACATTAAACAACCATTGTTTCTTGCTTGAAAACTTTAACAAAGGTTTGCTGTTTCATTTAAGATAGTTTTTGTTTTTAAAATATTTTAAAATTTTATCTAGTCAATATAAAAGTGTTTCCTTGATAGAAATCACATACACACCCACACGCACACAGGGACACACGGATACACACTCACAATACAGAGACAAGGCACTACTATTTGTTATTTCAGTACCTGAGGCAAACGTAAAAACAAAAACAAAAACAGAAACATTCTTTGAAATAAAGAATTATGTGTATATACCTCACAGATTCCTATATTATTGCATACAAAAGGACAGTGGCCTGAGGGATGGGACAGGACTCCTACAAGAAACACTTCCTCCCACCTGCAGCAGATGCAGAGACTGGGGTGAGGCTCAGTTTCCCCAGCGGTGGGAAGGACTAGGGACAAGGACCAGTGATGGGGAGGGGCCCAGATCCAGCAATAGGGGCAGCTGCTCCCACCCCTAGGCCTAAAGGGAGGAAAGAGAGGTGGTGTCATCTGAGCCCAGATGGGGGCTGTCCAGGGACCTGGGAAAACTGCCCCACCCTCTCTCCTCCCATCACCCCATTTGCTGCTGGAGCAACATGCAGCCAGCACCCCGAGGGCATGGGCAGTGCTGACCAGAAGAGTCAGCCTCCTGGGCAGAGCAAGACAGAAAAGGGCACACCAGGAACTGGAGAACGGCAGCCTGCGTGGAGCAGTTAGAACCAAAGTGTGTGTGCTGTTATCTACATCACATCTGTATACTTAATGGACACCCTGGAGCTTCTGCGGTGTCTTCAGCACTGCTGTGGGTGCTTGGGAGGCAGCGATTGAAAAACAGTCCGAGGAGGCCTGAGGACCCCTGAGGACCCCAGAGCTTACATTCTCGTGAGGGCAAGTCAGACAATTAGGGCCCAGAACAAACGATGGCAACATGTGCTCTGCACAAACCTATAATAGGGTGAAGGGAAAACAAGTGATTGGAAAACACTGGGAGGTGACGCTTAAGCTGAGATCTAAAGAGAAAAAGAAGGCAGCCCAGGAAGGTTGGGAGGATACTCCAGGCAGAAGGAACAGGTAGTACAAAGGCCCAGAGATCTGGACTTCTGGGCCCAGGTGCATTGGAGAAAGATGCTGGGAGGGCGGGAGGTGGGTAGTGAGCAGGGCTGAGTGCACAGGTGTGTCCTTGTTTCCCTGTGATAACCCAGGGAGGGTTTCAGTCTGTGGCAGGTGAGGGGAGGGGAGATGTATGACATGTGGCTATGTGGATCTCCTCGTGTGGAGAGATGGGGATGGGGTGTGTGGCAGGATTCAGTGAGGATCCTTGTGGGGGTCTGCAGGAGATCACTTGGGGCTGGTCTGGGGTGGTGTCCTGGATAGAGATGTGAGGACACATTGGGCTGCATTTGGGCAGATGCAGGGGCAGAGAAGAGGAATGAAGGATGACACTGAGATGTTTCTAACAACACTGTGTGTCGTTGGGACTGCCTTAAGTAACCCCCAGTAGAACCTCTGCAGGAGAGCCCTGGAACAGGTCAGAAGGTGTGGATGTGTCAGCCCAGTGAAGCCGGGCTTCTGTGCAACACTGTGGACAAGGCATGTCTGTCTTGGACTTCCGTTTGGTGTCTGCAACACCTGACGGCCCCATAACTGGGGCCTTACCTCTCAGAGGCTCCTAAAGAGGGACTCCAAGGGTAGGTCCAGGAAGGGCTGGAGGGCATGGGGAAGACTCCCAAGGAGGCATTTACAAGCTGTGTGGAGCTGATTCAGTGCTTCTAGGTGGATATAGGAAGAAGAACAGGACGTTTAGCCCCCAGAGTTCCCAGCCAGTAGAAGAGAAGGACTCCTGAGCTAAAAATGCTCATGAATGTGGTGGAGACACTCAGTGCTGGCAGTATGCTCACCTCTCTCACTATGCCTGCAGCGGCGGGGTGGGGTGGGTTGGACAGTCCGGGAGTCCTCCATGGGGGAGGTGGTCCTGAACTGAAGATTCAAGGATGGTAGAAGATATCTACAGTGCTCTGCAAACCTCTCGGTACCTGGGAATCACTTGCCTCCTTTTTACAATGCAGATCCTGAACCATCAGGACTTGAGTAGGGCCTGAGACCCTGCATGGTAGAAGGTGATGTCCTTGCTGGCAGCAGGAATGAAACAGCCAGGACGTTCGGAAGCTTATGAGGTAGGAATGAAATAAAGGGACTAGGTATTTCTGGCAGAAGACCCAGCACACACACAGAGACATGATCAAAACCATCCTGGATGAGAAGTGCGGACTGGGAGTTTGTACAAGTAGCATGCTAGAGCACAGGATCAGTGGGGGAAGCAAAGCCACCAGGCACAGCTGATGTATAACTCTGCAGCTATGCTATTTCCAATTATTCTCTGAAATGTTCCAGATTCAGTCATTTGCTCAGCCAGACCCCTGGGAGCCCTTCCTGATTGTGATGGCTCCTCCCTCTCTACATCCATTCCATCTCGGGTCCCGTAGATCCTACCTTCAGACTCCTTCTCATCTTTCCTCTCCATGTCCACATCCTGGTGCAAACCACCATGATCTTCTCTGAAGCCCTTCATCTGCTGAAGTCCCCTCCACCAGCCCAACCTCACTCCTGCCCCTCCCATCCACTTCCACATAGAAGCTAGATAGGACCTTTTCACCAAAGGCCTGAGCATGTACAGTGTGAGGCCAGACCTGATGTGAGTGGGATGAATGTGCCACAGCCCCGCCCCTGGCCCCCTCTCCCTGGCTCTGGGTCATGAACAGCCCCCACCCCCGTGCGCCATGCTGCGTTCTTGGTTAGCACAATAAATTTTAAGGACACTAAATAGCTCACTTCAGTTCAAACTTTTCCAGAACTGCAACATTTTAAAAAACAAAAACTAATGAGCAAGATGTACAGCATGAGTTAGATCAATCTAAACGCAGCACAGGCAGTCAAAGAAGTTCTGCCAATTTAACCAGTCAGTACATCACATTTATAGTTAAGATTGTTCTACTTTCTTGAAGCACAAATGTAAACCATTTTAGTTTTGAGAAGCTCCTAATAAAATCCGATTGTTATGCAAAATAAACATCATGCAGAGCCTGCCTGGGTTAAAGTTAAGGTCCTTCTGATTTATTGTGAAACCAGAAGCGACTATGCTTGCAAATCTCTTCACAAGGGCCCATTCTACTGAAAAGTTTATGTGATACCATGCCAATGTGAATTGTAAACAGAGGATTCACATGTTAGTCTAAGATTCAAGGGCATTTTTCTGGGGAAGTAAGTCTCCAGATACACTGTAAATTATGAAGTTGCTTTACACCAAGAAAGTAATTACTAGAAAGATAGCGGATAAAGAAGAAAGTGCAATAGTAAACACTCACATCTGGTGCCCTTCCTGGGAGTCTCTGATTCAGTTGCTTTTGGGTGGGGCCTGGACATCTGTATTTTCCCAAGTTTCTCTCACAATTCTGGCACACAGCAAAGCTGGGGAACCACTGCATTTGGGTGTCAACTGTAGATTTATGGTGAAGATCCATGCATCTTTCACCTATACACATCATAGTCACCTGCAGAAAATAGAAAAGAAAAATCATGAAAAAAACTATAGAGTAATCTTATCTATAGAGGAATAGAAACAATAATTACATATCACTCTTAAGAAACCATGCAAGCAAGAAGAGAATGGAGTGAAATATTTGAAGTGCTGATGAGAGAAAAAAATCTACTAACCTAGAATCTTGTAGTCTGCGAAATTATCCTTCAAAAGTGAAGGAGACAGAGAATTCTGGGGAGATGACAGAGTACGAAGCACTAGGAATCTGCCACCCCACCTAGACAATAATTGCACTGGCAGAATCTGTCTGATCTGACTATTTTGGATCTCTGGAGTCTACTGAAACCTTGCAACTTCCAGGGGAAGGCTTGAATGATAAATTGCAGTTAATTAAGTCAAATTCAGCTCTTAACACAGTAGCAGCTGCCCATTCCTAACCTCCAGCCACTGGCTGGCAGCTGTGTATGTGTTCTTGGACCAACCTGCATGCAGCTTATGAAAGACTGACGCTTCTGATCACAGAGATACAAAGAGGCTGGAGGTCACTGTGGTTGTACTACTCCCTGTTGTTGCGAGCTTCTCCCCCTCCAGCTGAAGTGACTTCCAGGATACTTAAAGGGTCAGCATCCTTTTCTTTTCCCCCTTTCACTTTTCTCTTTTTGAGAGCCAGACAAAGACTAGCACATTCACCAACAACTGTATATACAGGGAAAATTAAAAATTGGCTGCTCATGCTCAGTAAAAAGTACGGGCTCAGAAAAGACCTCAGAAGAACTTAAGTTTGCACCATGGACTGATCCTTGGCACAGCAATAGCCTACAACAACTAAGAAAACAAAAGCAGAAATCAGCAGATCCTGGGGAACAGGATGAACTGTTTTTCAGAGTTACCACATTAGTAGATTCAAACATCCTCTTTTTAACAAAAAAATCACAAGGCAAAAAGAAATAGGAAAGTATATCTTTTTCAAAGGAAAAAAAATAAATCAACAGAAACATTCCTGAAGAAGACCTGACGGCAGATCAACTAGACAGAGCTTTAAAACTGTCTTAAAGATGCTTACAGAACCAAAGGAATATGTGGACAAAGTAAAAAAAAAAAAGTGAACACAATGAAAATATCAATAAAGCAACAGAGGTCCTAAAAAGAAACCAAAAAGAAATTCTGGAGCTGAAAAGAATAACTGAAAAGAAAAGCTGACTAGATAGATTCAAAGGCAGGTTTGAGCAGGAGGAAGAAAGAATCAGTAAACTTGAAGATAGGACAATGGAAATTATTGAGTCAGAGGGACAGAAAGAAAACACATTGAAAAAAAGTGAACAGAGCCTAAGGGCCCTAAGGGACGCCATTAAGTGGACCAGCTTAGGTATTATGGGAGTTGTTGAAGGAGAAGAAAGAGAAAAGCAGTAAGAAGATATTTGAAAAAAATAATGGCTAAAAACTTCTCAAATTTGATGATAGACATGAATATAAACATCAAAGAAGCTCAAAGAATTCCAAGTAAGATGAATTCAAAGAGATCCACAATGAGACACATTATAATTAAACTTTCAAAAGCCAAAGAAAAAGGAGAAAATTGAAAGCAGCAAGAGAGAAGAGGCTCATCACATACAAGAGATCCTCAATAAGATGATCAGTAGATTTCTCATCAGAAATTTTGGAGGCCAAAAGGCAGCAGGCTAATGTATTCAAAGTGCTGAAAGAAAAAACCTTTCAACCAAGAATCCTACATCTGGCAAAATTGTTCTTCAAAAGTGTAAAACTGTAACTTCAATTTATGTTTTTTTACATGATTTAAGAGATAAACACATTAAACATTATCAGTATAAAAGATAATATTATTGTAACTTCAGTTTGTAACTCCACATTTTGTTTTCTATATAATTTAAGATACTAATGCATTTTTTAAATTATTAGTTTATGTTTTGAGGCACACAATGTACAAAAATGTAATTTTGTGACATCAATGACTGAAAGGTGTGGATGAAAAGCTGTAAAGGAGCAGAGTTTTTGTATATTATTAAAGTTAAGTTAGTGTAAATTTGAATTAGAGTGTTATAACTTTAGGACATTAAATGTAATCCCCATAATAACCACAAAGAAAACAGCTATAGAATATATGCAAAAGGAAATGAGAAAGGAACTTAAACATTTCACCACAAAAATCTGTAAAACACAAAAGAAAATAGTAATACAGGAAATGAGGGACAGAGAAAGGTACTAGATATATAGAAAGCATGTAACAAAACAGCAGAAGTGGGGCCGGCCTGGTGGCGCACTGGATAGTGCGCCGCTTGGGAAGCGCAGTGGCGCTCCCGCCCGAGGGTTCGGATCCCACATACAGACCGGTTCCCACTCACTGGCTGAGCGAGGCGCGGGAGCAACACCCCGAGGGTTGCGATCCCGTTGCCGGTCCCTGGTCCGGTACGGGGGCAACACTGAGGGTTGCGATCCGTTGCCGGACACGGAAAAAGACAAAAAAAAAAAAACAGCAGAAGTGAATCCTTTCTTATCAGTGATTATTGATATGTAAATAGAATAAACTCTCCATTCAAAAGACAAAATCAGCAGAATGAGTAAAAACATGACGCATCTACATGTTGTCTATAAGAGAGTCACTTTAGATTAAAAGACGCAAATAGGTAGAAAGTTAAAAGATGAAGAAATTTACTCCAAAAAAATAATAACCAAATAGAGCATGAGTGGCTACACTAATATCAGACAACATAGATTTTAGACCTAAAAAAATTACAAAAAGTGAAAAAGGACATTATATATTAATAAAAGGATCAATACAACAAAAAGATATAATAACGTCAAATGTTTATGCACCTAATGACAGATCATCAAAATATATGAAGCAAAAACAGAGAGAACTGAAGGGAGAAGTAATTCTACAATAGTAGTTGGATACTTCAATATCTCTTTCAAAATGGACAGAACAACCAGACAGAAGATAGGTAAGGAAACAGAGGACTTAAACAATACGATAAACCAACTAGATCAAATAGATATTTATAGGACATTTTACCATACAACAACAACAGCATACAAACTTTTCTCAAGTGCACATGGCATATTTTACAGAATAGACCATAGGTTAGGCCACAAATTAAGTCTCAATAGACTTAAAAAGATAGAGATTGTACAAAGTATCATCTCTGACCATAACGGACTAAAGTTAGAAATCAATAACAGAAATAAAACAGGAAAATTCACAGATTTGTGGAAATTAAAGAACACCATCTTAAACAACCAATGGATCAAAGAAGAAATCAGAAGGAAAATTAGAAAATACTTATCGAGATGAATGAAAATGAAATTACAAAATGCCAAAACTTATAGGATGCAGTGAAAGCAGTTAAGGAGGAAATTTATAGCTATAAATGCTTATGTTAAAAAACAGAAAAAGATCTCAAATCATCATCCTAACTTTACAACATAAAAAAATAGAAAAAGAAGAACAAACTAAACCAAAAGCTAGCAGAAGAAAAGGATATAATAAAGATTAGAGCAGAGATCAATGAAATAAAGTATAAGAAAAAATAAAGAAAATCAATAAAACCAAAAGTTGGTTCTTTGATAAAATCAACAAAATCAAGAAACCTTTAGCTATGTGGACTAAGAAAAAAAAGAGAAGACTCACATTCCTAAAATCAGAGATTAAAATGAGACATTACTACTGATTCTAGAGAAATAAAAAGGATTAGAAGACTACGAACGATTTATGCCAACAAACTGGATAACTAAATGACATGGATAAATTTCTAGAACACAAAACCTACCAAAATTAAATTACAAAGAAACAGAAAATCGAAATAGTCCCCAAATTAATAAGTAGATTAAATCAGTAACTAAAAATCTCCCAACAAAAAAAATCCTTGGGCCTGATGGCTTCATGGTAAATTCTACCAAACACTGAAACATCAACTAAGGTATCCTTCTCAAATGTTTCAAAAAATTTAAGAGGAGGCAACCCATCCTAACCCATTCTGTGAAGTGAACATTACCCTTATACCAAAGCCAGTCAGACACTACAAGAAAAGAAAACCCCTTATGAACACTGATGCAAAATCTTCAATGAAATACCAGCAAACCAAATTCAGTAGCCTATTAAAAGTATTATACATCATGACCAAGTCAAACTTATTCCTGGAATGGAGAGATGGTTCCACATACAAAAAAATCAATCAATATAAAACACTACATTAACAGAATGAGGGGGAAAAACACATGATTATCTCAATTAATGCAGAAAAAGCATTTGATATAATTCAACACCCTTTCATGATAAAAATTCTCAAAACAGGAGGACAGAAGGAAACTACCTCAACATGATAGAAACTGTGAAAATTTTTGGAATCAAAATGGAGTTGCTTGAGTTTAAAAACCCTTGACAAATAGAGCTGGGGAAAGGTCATGAAGTGGGTAGGGGAGTTCTCACGCACTAACACCTGATAACAAGAACTATCACAAAAGACTCTGCAAAACCACAACCTTCCACAGAGGCCATCACAACCTTAATAAAAAATGCTTCTGGCAAGGATATTTACCCACCAACTGCCTGTCCCACCTTGGACCAACAAGAACTATCACAAAAGACTCTGCAAAACCACAACCTTCCACAGAGGCCATCACAACCTCATTAAAAAATGCTTCTGGCAAGGATATTTACCCACCAACTGCCTGTCCCACCTTGGACCGGCATCAGCTTTGTTACTGATTTTTGTAGCCAAGGATAACTGTACCCCCAAAATTATGTAATCCTCCATCATTTTTTCTTTAAAACCCTTGTCTTCCTTTACCTCCCTGAAAACGCACAGTTTATTTACTATGTCATGTGTATTCCCATTGCAATGTCATATTCCCAATTAAACTCACTATTTCCCTGAAAATGCACAGTTTATTTACTATGTCACGTGTATTCCCATTGCAATGTCATATTCCCAATTAAACTCACTATTTTTTGAGAGAACCTCTCTCTGTAATTTAGTTTGACATA